TGAGATGAAAGATGATTGATCATCAACGATGCCTAAATCAAGGGCAGGTCTTCTACTCGCCAACCACGTGTTCGACATGAGCTGTCTTCGAAACCTTCATTATTTCCCCACACATCCCCATACCAACAAGATCCGACAAGGTCACAAGGACCCTGCCCTTCAAACGATTTCTGGACCCATCATTGATTAAATGGTCATGTGCAGGATCACAAGGGCAAGCACAACGCGCACGCCCTCAACTCAACTTGGTCGACTGACTTGCCCAGTGACCCTTTCTTGCTGGGTATCCAGAATCCAATTGAATATGACCAACTATATTGCATTGGATAATTACCAACTGGAACAAAGGGGAAAGGATGTCACAGCCAGTGAAGGGTCCAGAGCCTCAGCGCTTACCCGCCCCCCCCAAACCGAATCCCCCCTCCCCCCTCAGTCCAATTGGACATGGCCTCTAAAACCCTGGTCACCGGTCCTGCACGGAAACTTTCCGGGAGAGATCCTTGCGGAAGGTTGTCATGAGGTCGTAGCGCAGCTGGCAGCTGCCGCGCTGCAAACTTCGGATCCTCGAATTCAAGCTGAACTCAATTTATGGAGGTTGCAATGCACTCATCCAGATTTTGCAGAAGCGCGGACTTTGCAAACCCGACGCATGCGGCCAACATATTGGGAACTATTTGCCACAATGTAAATTGTCATCCCAATACCTCAATACTTGGCAAGGGAACCCTCTCGAGGATGACTTTGACAAGCAAATCCAAAGCTGAATGTTTTCCGTCCCAATTCTGACGCATCTCCACCTGCAACCAGGAAAGAAACAACTTTGGGAGTAAACAGTACGGGGTCAAACAGGTACAAAAAACAGTTTGGCAGCAAACACGTATACATACCATCATCCAACCTAAATGGGCTGGCAAGGGTCAGGCTGCACGCTGAGCAAACGGACTCAGGCGTGCCAGGGGAAAAAGTTATCCTGTGGATGTGGGTTGAGCAAAAGTCCTGTACCTGGGACCATCGAACAAAAACCACCAACAAGAGGCATGGACAAAGTTGTGGTCATTCAAGCGGGAGACTGGGCTGACTTTTTTGGAGGCCCGGCCCCCTTCCAATGCTTCGCCCAAATGGCAGCGTCTGGAGCGCCTTCAGCTGCACGCCGTGTGGGTCTGGGTGCTCCAGGCTGGACCTCAACCGGGGGAGGTGGTACCTTTGGTTAAGCCCCATTCCTGTCCTACTGTAGATGGACAAAATCCGCTTTGCGCCACGAGATGAACCCATGGTTCAAGCCATGACGTTTCTGTGCATTCGCGTTGCGGAATCGAATCATTCCAGGGTTTCTGAACGGCGGTGCAGAATCTCGTCCATCAACGGTACCAGTAGAGCCGGCGAAGCCGGCGGGTGGAAGCTTCTAGGGCGAGAAGGGCGCCTATAGGAAGAGCTTGGCCTGGGTTTCTTTCTTTCTTTCTTTCCTCCCTTCCTTCCTTCCTTCTTTCTTTCTTTCTTTCGTTCTTCTTTCTTGTCTTTCTTTCTTTCGTTCTTTCTTTCAGTACTGTCTTTCCTGTTATTTACCTACCTATCTATCTATCAATCTGTCACCGGACCTGGGGAAAGTACTGCGCCTGCCACGAAATATGCACTTCACCTTGCAACAGTGCTGCGCCTGCCACGAAATCTGCAGCTCAGGTTCCAAAAGTGCTGCGCGTGCCACGTGATTTGCACCTTCATCTCATTTTTTTTTCTCTCTCTCTCTCTCTCTCTTTCTCCTATGTATCTATCTATCCATCTATGACCTGACCTTGCGAAAGTGCTGCGCCTGCCACGAAGTCTGTACTCCATCTTGCGAAAGTGCGATCAACTTTTCGTATTACGGAGGCTTTCTAACTAAACTTCCTTTCATTAATAGGGGGTGCTCCCCTCCAACGTGGTGAATCCACAACACAAGGTATCGGACACCTCCCTGACTGCTTGTGATCCCAAAGTGGGCCATCCCTGTGGCAACTTTGTCTTCGTTTTTCAGGGATTCCCCAAAGTCACGGAACATGGCACCCTTTCACCCAGTTTGACATGATCTCAACCGGCTTTCACAAATTCAGGCTGCTTTGTCTTAGCGACGTCGAATTTCGTGCAGCTCAATGGCCTTGCATCCTCGTAAGGCCCACTTGCGTCCCAGGCACCACTCGTGCGACACAAAGGTCACCGGGCCTTTGTGCGAGGCGCCACCCTCAGAGTCGCCGTGCCTCAGCCCGGAAAAGCGGCAAACCTGGGTTGGTCTCTTCCCCGGCAGATTCAAGTTGAAACATATCAAAGTTGGAGATGCGGTCGCACGTGGCCTCGCTTTCTCGAGGCGTGTGAGTTCATAGCTCACTCTTGAGCACGCACACAGCCAAAGTGGCTCCAGCCCTGACCGCCTCTCCAAACCAGCACCAGTCAAACCATCCGACCACAAATGGGGGGGGGGGCGGAGGTTATGACCCGAGCCGAGCAAATCCCTGAGCTGGAAGAAATGGTGCCTTCTTTTTTAACGTTGCCTGGTTTACAGCAGAAGATGTGAACAAAAACATGCAAAGGAATCCCACTTGCCACCACACTCCAAGCCAAGGCTCAGCTGCAGCAACCCCCGCTCCAGCAGCTCCTGGTGCGGCATCATCTGTTCCAAGCGCAGCACCTCCCCTGCGTGGATCACCCACCTGGGGCCCAAGGCGTCGTTCCACTTCTTCATGGGTGTGCATTTTTTGAGGATACCCGTTTTGGGGTAGGAAAACAACCCATTTGAGAGGGGGGTGCCTTCAACAAAGGACAACAGCATACGGACAAAGGATGAAAAGGGATAAGGGCGGGCCGTGGGAGAAGGAAGAAGGAAGTGGGAATTGAAACGGCATGCTCAGCTGTATTTGGACGTAAGATTTTCCCTTGTGCCCCGCTCCAAATCATTGACGCTGGCCGGGTTCCATGGGGCAAAAACTCCGGAAGCTTAATCGTGCCGCCAAACGGGAAAACCGTCACCAGCAACAACTTTATCTAAGACAAGAAGAAAAACCAACCAACCAAACAAACCGACCAACCCACCCACTCACCCACCAACCAACCAAGCAAGCAAGCAAGCAAGCAAGCAAGCAAGCAACCGGCCAGCCAACAACCCAACCCACCACCCCCATCATCCCACCACTCCCATCACCCACCCCTAACACCCGAATCCCCCCAGCCAAGCCACCCAGCCACCCACCCACCCACCGAACGCCCACCCACTGACGCACCGACGCACCAACGCTCCGACCGAACAAACAAGCAAGCAAGCAAGCAAGCAACCAACCCAAAAAAAAAACGAAACACGCAAACCCGCAAACCCGCAAACACAAACACAGACACGCTGACAAACAGACAAACAGCGAAACAAACAAACCAAACACAAATCAATGAATCACTGAATCACTGAATCAATGAATCAATGAATCAATGAATCAATGAATGCAATCAAATCAATGAATGCAATCAAATCACATCACATCACATCGCATCACATCAAATCAACAAATCAATAAGTCAATAAATCAATAAATCAATAAATGAATTGATCAATAAATCAACCAACCAACCAACCAACCAACCGACGACCGACCGACAGACCGACCAACCAACCAACCGGTCCACCATCCAAAATCAAATAAGTCAATTAAGAAAAAAAACATCAAAATTAATCAACAAAAATCAAATCAAACAATCAACCAAGCAATCCATCAATCCAAATCAAATCAAATAAAAAATAAACCAACCAATCAATCAATCAATCAATCCAATCCAAATCAAATCAAGTCAAGTCAAGTCAAACCATACCAATCAATCAGTCAGTCAGTCAATCAATCAATCAACCAACCAAGCAAGCAAGCACACAACACACAATCACACAAACACACAACCACACAACCACACAAACAAACAAACAAACAAACAAACAAACAAACAAACAAACAAACACACACACACACACACAACCAGCCAAGCAAGAAGGCAAGCAGGCAAGCAGGCAGGCAAGCAAGCAAGCAGGCAAGCAAGCAAGCAAGCAAGCCAGCCAGCCAACCAGCACACAAGCAAGCAAACACACAAACAACAAACACACAACCAACCAACCAACCAAACAAGCAAACACGCAAACCACACCAAAGACATGTTCTACGTCTTCTTATTCTTCTTCTGACTTATGCATCTTCTTCTTCTGAATGCTTCTTCTTTTTGTTCCTCTTCTTCTTTTCAATTTCATTGATTTTTTTGCGCAGGCTTCCGCGTGGCTCGCTCCAGCAAGCGCTGGCTTGCCCCTTCGGCCACGGCGCATGGGGAATTTCCGTGAGCTCGCCGAGAGGTTGGAAGAGGCCGCCGAGAAGGACGGCTGCTCGGTGAGGACGCGGAGATCATCGGAGCCCCGCTTGCACAAGGAGTGCATGCCGAACGTCCCGAGGCCCAGAGGGGCCGACGTAGACGGTGGACGCCCAAAAGTCGCAAGAAGGATAATAGAACGGATCTGCGCTGACATGGATGCATCTTGTCTCAATGCGCTTTTGTTCTGTCTCTGTCAAAAGACTTGCTGGAAGAATTTCCTGGATTCCATGTCAATGGCTCAAGGCAGCTTGAGGCACTTTGGCCTGAGGCACTTTGGCCTCTGTGGCTTGAGCAGCGGGCATCGGAGTTGAGCTAACAAGAAAGCAATGGCCCAGAGGAGTCGACGTTGTTTTTGTGGTTTTCCGGCATTGTGTAGAAACAACCCATAGGATCATGTCGAGTAGAACCCATCAGCCTTGCGACAAGCGGCGCCGTGTTAACTTTGCACAAGGGGCGCTTTGACGACCCGACAAATCCTGAGATAGCCCCACTCGCAAGCTTCCTAGGGCTCGAAACCAATTCCCGGAGTGCCTTGCAAGAACCTCTGCCTGCGTTACGGGGCAATGCACAAGTTTCTAACTTGCAACCACCTGACTTACGCGTCGTCTGGTGGCCGCACCCCAAGTCCCCAAGGCCTTGCTGGCCGCATCTACGATCTTGACATTGGGATCTGCCAGAAGGGGCCTGGGACGCTGAGGGGGCGCTGCAAGCGCCTGGGGCCCAGTTTTCAGTCGGAAACTTTGCGTTGCCTGGGATGCTCAGCCCACTTCTCCAAACACGGAACCTGACAAGGGGGTTCCTGCATGAAAGACCATTTCGTTGGTGGGAGGGTAAAAACTGGAAACCTAGTTTCAAGGGCATGTCCAATTGATCTTATATCCCGATTTGAGCTTGTAAGGCAGCAGCGTATACTCCCTATATTTAATATGTGGATAACTTGCATACCGCCAAAGAAAATACCCTCACAGTTGAACCACCTCAACTAACATGGGCCGGACAGCTGTTGATTGCCTCGAAGTTGCCTGGAGGTCTTTACCCCTAGTTCCTCAAACGTTCCCACCCCCCCTCCAAGCCTGGGGCTGATAGCAGCTGGTGAGGGCTTGAAAATGAAATTGATTGGGGGCCTGAGAGCCATAAGGAGCTAATGGCGCCATGCCAGTTTGAGCGGGGTCTTGTTGCTTGTTCTTCATGCATTCCCATGTAAGATGTTCGATGACAAGTGCATCAAGGCATGCGAGCTAGGTGCCAGCTTTGGAGCTGTGTATGTTTCTTGGCGCAGGTGGGCAGCGAAGAGGGGTGCTCGACATGGACGTGATGCAAGACTTGGCTTCACAAAAACAGCCGCCAGGCGAAAGAGCGGTGATCAGAGACCATCTACTTCCATGGTATAGCAAGGCACGGCCCAGAGATATGATGGTTAAACAAAGGACTTGCCGCCCGGTTAAAGGGCACTTGGTTGGTCCTGCTGCTTACCAAGTAGGTTATAACCAGGGTTTTGAGTTATGCCGGTTGCGCAACTCGTGACTGAAACCCACTTGTTAAGTTGCTTGAACATCCAAGAACACTCAAGGAGGCTGTTTCAGGCCTCAGCCCATGCCCTTTCCCCCCGAGGTCTCGGCGCGATGTCGTGCGCCAAGGGCGCCGCCAAGCTGCCGATGCCCGCGATGGCCGCGAGCACCGACAAGCGGACTGGCAACCCGAAACCGACGAAACCGAGAGGAACGCTCAGATTCAGCGTCCCAATTGGTGGATTCGTGGTTGTGGATGTCTCCGGGGCGGATTCCTATTTACCCTCCACAAGAACCAGGAAACCCCCAAACCAATCCAAACCACTTAATTAAGAGCAACCTGACATATGCCGGTTTCTCATAAAATAAACGTCCCCGACCTTAAAATGGGAAGGGAATTGCTCTTCTGGCTTAAGCTACAGGCCAACCATGGGCAGACCACCTGCCAAAGTGGCCAATAGGGGCTTTCCAAGAGTGGTTCTGGTTCGTTAGTACCATCTTGGGTTTACGCTTTCGGGAGTACCTCGCTTCCTCTTCTGAGTTGGTATCGAAGCATTTTCTAAGACAAACCCACATGCTTGCTAACCCCAAGACCAGGGGAACACCGGACAATTGTCCACGGCTCGTTTCCTGGGGCAGCCTCCGTCATTGAGACAGATTGATCACCCGAGTGATTGCTTACACCATGTTGAGAGGAGACAACATGGGATAATTTGATATAATGTCATCGTTCTGTTTAATGGGCTTTCACAACACAGGATGGACAGAAAGCTCTGCAAATTCCGTTGCCATTCCCAAAAGCCAGCGAGGAAAGCAAACCCCCTCAAATGGTCAGTCCCAACTGAGCCAATGGGGCAAGACTTGTCCTCCACTGGAAAGCTCAAAAGGTCTCGCAGCGCCGAAGAGAAAGCCTGAAAAGGTGTGGGCTTGCCACGTCGCCACGGGGAAAACATCAAAATGATGATGTTGTTGGCTGAGTAAGGTAATCAGGGTGGACCCATGCTGCCTCAAACAGCAGTGTAAGCACACCCAAAACCACGATCTCTCTGCTTTTATTTATTTCCGCAATCGCCAGTTCCGTAATCATTGACAGGTAATGGAAACCCCAAATGAATAAACCCCTGGTTAATTAACCAGGGAGTGTCCCCTTCTAGTGGGGATTCATGACTTTGGAGGGAACCCCTTTTTAACAGCAATCCAAAGAACCAAAGACTTGGAGCAATCGGCCCTCAGGCGAACCCACTTTTGCTGCACCCAAGAAACAAAGTAGCGAAGCTGCCCCGCTGGAGGACCAGCGGCATGGTCAAAACCTCCATTTGGGTCTTAACCTTTGCTTCGGTCCCCCAAAATGGTTGGTTTCATCTTGGCGTCCCATGAAAAACAACAGGTTGTCAGTTCATTTTGTGAAACACGGGGGCCTTGATCAAAAACAAGTTAAATTCCAATGTAGGCTGGGAGACCGTTCCTGCCAAGCAGTAACTCAGTAAGGTATGTACAGAGCAGCTCCGGCCATTGATTTACCAAATTCGCGCAATGCATCAAGAGGTCATTCTGGCCATAACAAAACAGAACCACATTCTGTTCCATCTTGCATGGGTCCAGGCGCGAGAAGCCATACCGAGCCATCGATCCGTGATCCGCGCCTTGGTCGGAGTCACTCTGGAGCTCCTCCCAGCGAGTGTCCACCAGTCGCCGGGCCTTCCGAAGGCCCGGTGCAATCGCTTTTGGGTGTTTCGATTTGTTTGAGAGTACCCCATTTTTCTTGGCGTTGTTTTGGGAAACCAAGAGGAAAACAGCCAAAGCCCACAAGATGTAGCGGACAAATCTACCCACAATCAAAGAACACTGGTACGTTCCATCCCTTCTTGGAGTGGTACTCGTCTTTTTTGGGTATGTAGTTTGACACAGAATAGGTAACCAACTCTCTTTTCCGGTTCCCACACCATAACGGACGGCGTTTGCCGTGCAGGACTGGGTCCATTCTGGCAAGTCCTCAAAATGGCACATGTGGGTGGAACAAACAGGGCAATCACCAACGACCAGGACCCCAAATGGGAGTGTCTTCTTTGAGGGTACCCTTTTTTATATGGTTTAAAGGAAGACTAAAAGGACACCCACCATTTTTGTGGGTCCGCTGAAAAGAGAGATGCTCAAATACATGCCTTGCGCCATAGAAAACGCCCGAAAGACGCCGCTCCCAACCCGCACCAAGGCCGCCGCGTACTCGCGCTTTGCAGACTCCACGGCTGCTGCGTGCACCTCGCGCCTCGCTTGGCAGATGCAGGGGACGAAAGGTTGGGCGGCAAAAATTGGAACCGCAACCAACCCGAATGACGCACTGGGCGGGGCTGAAAAACAGTGGCGCCCATTCGCGTGGCAGAAAAGGTTGGCGCCGTTTTGGGTGCAAACCCATTGCGAATTGTTCGAGGCCTTTTGAAGGTGAAAGCCCGAATAAGGTGAGAAGGATTGGGAAAGGAAACAAAGATGAAGCCAGTATGAAAGTCACGGCCTCTTCGAAAACAGGTAAACAGCAACCTTTAACCTTTTCGCTTTTGCAGGGGATGCTTGGACTGCTGCACTTCGTAGTGCTTGTAGAGTTCTACTGAGTTACACTCGATACTGAGACGATCCATCAATATTGGAAATCAGTGCGGCCCCCTTCACGCGCTACTGCGGTTTGCCCGTGGAAGCGCAAACTTGCGGCAATCCTGGGACTGCTGGCCTCGTTCAACTCCTGGATTGTAGCGTGTTCTTTTTGTCCAGTGTGCGTGCCCCGCAAGTGGCTCAGGGAGCAAGCGTCACAACCTTGCAATCAAAACATTTCCTGTACCGGAGCTGGCAACAGGCATGATCATTCTTACACATAGTCTTTCACGGACACCAAACAAGCCTGTTCAGGGACACACGCATGGGGCAAGAACGCTGACTGTATTATACACTGGTTCATTGACTGATGGAAGCATTGTGCACCAGTTCCACCACATCGGCGCTAGCACAAGCTCTTGTACGCTCTTTGCCCAAGAGATCTACTTCCCCAATGGCAAAGTTGACCCCCTTTGTTCGTTGAGCGGTGGCCACTGCATGTCCCCCTTAAAAGTTCTTGAAATGACTAGTGGTTTCCAGTGAGAAATCATCGCCACTTGAGGTCCAAATATATGGGACATTGAGGGCCGGGATCCGGACCAAAATCGCGCTGGGCTTTCGGGCGCCACTTCCCCGCACTTCTGCAGCTCCAAGACACCCTGTGGTCCAAGAAAGGCCATGGGTCGAGGGGTTCCACCAAAGGCAAATTGTTCAAATTGCATAGAGGGCTGTGTCGTCAAATCGGGGAACCCAACAACTGATTTCGCTTTTCCCTCGGGTGGACACCGGTTTAAAAATGGGCCGACCCCAACCAGACAGCCTTTTAGTGACAGAGACCAGAGACTAGAAGAAAAGCCTGCGCCGGGAGATACGTACACCATTTCGGGCCACTTGGTTCGAGAACCTGCCCCACAAGTCCGGCATCTTTGGCGGCGACATGAGCTTTTTGCTGAGGCAGGTATCCCCAGTATGTTTTGTCTAAACAAACTTCCGAACCAACACTGGGCATTATGTCAGGTTCCCAGAACCCTCATCCATAAGCCCTCTTCACTAGTGGGTGGGGGGGGGGGTGATTACTATATGTGACCTCCTTCCCCTAAACTTCTACAGCCTCCCAAACCTACTAACGAATAGCGCAGGCACAACAGTTCTGTGTAGTGTACCTTGCAGCTGAAGCCCACCTAATCCTCCCACCTAACCCTCCCACATCGGTGCCACGCTCCCCACCAAACCCTCGTGAAACTCCCACACATCGCCTGCACACGTTTCTCGTCCTCATTGCTGAAGAGTGCCAGCACGTGCTTGGCACCAAGCGCAGCGCTTGTGCCTCAAAGCAGCCGCGAGATACACTTTGAGTCTATAGAACATGGGAAAGCAGTATTATCAACAAACCTCTGGTTCATGTTCTAATTGGGGCGTGTCTGATGGGCAATATGTCTACATATATATATATATATCTCAATATATGTATACACATATGTACATAAACATAATTATAACCCTTCAACATATCGCTTGCCAGGAACATGTTCCACTTCCCCCTTGTGGATTTAAACATCAGAACCAAGGGCCATCAACAAGGAATATGGGTCTGTGTGTGTGTGTGTGTTTTAGAAACTCGGTACCCGTTTTGGAAGGTTTGATAAGGGAACAAACAAACAAACGCAAAAACAAAAAGACACTAATTACCCATTTTCGGGGGTCCGAGCCACCTGAACACGCCCGAGTGAGCTGATGCTTCGGAAGTTGTCCAGGAGTGAATGCATCCCTCTAGTGATTGCAACCACAGCAACGGAATCGTTCTACGCCCCATCAAACAGGGTAGTCAAACCCAGCTGAAAAGTTGCTCGTGGTTCGGAGGCGAGCTGAATATGCTTCTGAACACGTATCGTATTCCTGGACGACGGTGATTGTTTGGTTGGGGAAGTCATAGAATGTGTGTACCTCTGTCAGCGCAGTTGATCCGCGTTTCAGGGTTCTTCAAACGTCTGCCACATACGGCAGAAACCCAAACCTGCAACCTGGGCAACAATGGCGTCATATGAGCCAACGGGAAAAGCAATGCTAAGCGCTCCAGCACAAGCAGCGGTTGAGTATCCTTTTTTCTCTTCCGATCAGTCCAGCATCGGTGTGAAACTGAAGCTGTAGGGTAAAACTCCGCCGTCAAGTTCGACTTCGGGATTGTGACACATGGCCTCAGACCTTTCCTGAAACTCATCGAACTCATGGGAGCTTGGGATGAAACATGGTGCCGCCCCGCACGGCGACGCTGGCGCCCGGCTTGAACTGGCACCAGACCTTGGGATCTGGCCGCGGAGCGGCCTCGTCTTCGGGCGGCTCCTCCTCGGTGGTTTGCTCCTTTTGCATGTAGTCGCCGGTGAGCTGGTTGCCATTCTTGAACACCCACACGCCCTTGCCAAACGGCTTGTTGTACCTGAACGTTCCACAGTAGAAGGTGCCGTTCGGGAAGAGCCACTTGCCACTGACCATCTTGCCCTCCTGCCACTCACCAATCAGCTGGGTGCTATCTTTGGCGAATGTGTAGGTGCCATTGCCATGCTTCTTCCCTTCCCTCCACTGGCCTGCATAGACATCTCCGTTGATGTAGGTGAACGTGCCCTCGGCTGGGCCCTCAGAATTGGCTTTGCATCCCCGCTGGCCAGCTGTGAAGTTGCCGAGGTAAGTACCTCCGCGTGGAGGGGCGTTCTCGTCTGGGGGCTCATCATCCTCGCCGATCTTGGTCTTGTAGGTCATCTTTCCGAAGCCGTGCTTCCGGTTCTCCTCGTACTTGCCTTCATAGATGTCCCCCGCCTTGAAGACATAGACGCCCTTTCCTGCGCGCATGCCCTCCACAAAGGTGCCCTCATAGCTGTCCCCGGTGAGATACAAGGCTTTGCCTTGGCCCGTAAACTTCTGCGAGCCCTCCTCTCTGGGCTGCTCGGACCCCTTCACATAGAGCTCGTACTTGGGTTCGGGCTCATCATCGCCCATGTCGGCCCGGCTTTGCTTGTCTGGCAGCGGCGTGGAGCTTGGGCCGGCGCTGCCGAGATCTGCCAAGGAATGTTCTATGAATTCCACCCCAAATTAGCGGGATTCAACGGAGTATGAATCAATGGGCATCTTTAGTGGCTTTATTTACATCCCACTAAACTTGTGGGGATAGTGGTTGAGGGGGTAGCTGAAACCATCTTTGGTATGTGCAAAAACCGGAAACCTTTTGAAATTGCTGAACCTCCCATCAGGTCTCAGTACCTCCCGTCAGGTCTCAGTGTATCTGCGCTGCTCAATTGGCGGAGCGCATAGGTCTGCTCTCTCGAGTTGGCTGGAAGCTTGGAGCTAGCGCAGTAGCCTGGATTCACCTTCTACGTGCGTGAAGCGAGAGCCAGTTTGGACTCTGCAAAACAACGGCCGTGCCAGGCTCCCGGGCTAGCTCCGGAGGACCGCCTTAGGTTCAGAGACCAAGTCAGCAGCTGACCGAGGGCAAAAAAAACAGTTGGAAACCAACAGAAAACTCTGGGATGCCAACAGAAAACACCAGAGATGCTAAGAAGGTAACTCCATACTCAAGATATGAGGCAAACACATTGTGCGCCGCTCCGAGTTCCTGACAATAACTGAGCCACCTGCGCCATTTGATGAGCTCACAAGGACGAGCCCGTGACCCCAACTTCCAGCTTGGAATTCATGGGGCACGCCTTCAATGAATCAAGCGAGTGACTGTGTGACCCTGGGAAACCAGCGCCGCCTTCGTGTAAGCTGCAAGACTACAAGATCGCGGACTGAAGTTGTTCAACTGCCATGTTACCACAAGCGGGGGGCTCTGCGGCTGTAGGTTGGCAAGTTGACAACTCACGTCCAGCTTGAACTGAACCATCAGCCATGCTGTGTCAATGCAATTCAATGCTGGCTATTCATGATTGATGCTGCTTATTGCTGTTGCCACTGGACGTAGTTGACCGCAACAAACATGAATTACCCTGTGACTAGCTCGGTAATATCCGCCCCTTGGCAAAGAAAGGACACCAATTCAAGAACATCCAGCATGACAGCCCAACCTTCAGTTCGGTACTTTGGGCCTTGTACTCTCCAGTCTCCTAAAGTCTCCAATGTGCAGCGCCCAAAACCTGTTGCCTTTTTGGTTCTACTCACATGGTCATAAACGTTTTTGTAGGCCTTGCCGCAACCCTTTCATGGGAGCAAGTAGTAGAACCACCTACTAAAATGGGCAATAGGAATTGGTGTTGGGCGCTGCTCAAATGGAAAATTCATGCGCGTCCCCACCCGAAGCCGACTGCCTCGCCATCCTCTCCACCTGCTGCGACAGCCTCAGTCGTGGGGGATTCGAGGCGCCGTGGACATGTGAGAGTGGCTCGGGCTTGTCTTTGTCCATTTGGCTGGTACCCAAAATGGAGCCCTAGAAACAGAAAGGGACGCTATTGAAAATGGTAGTGTGGACTATGTGGACTAAAGTTTGCAGTCGCCCGGTGGCTTAATTTTGACCCATGCCCAGGTGTTGTCCTTTGTTTTCAAGGTGCCATTGGTACGATTTCTGGACCCATGCCCACTCAAAAAATAATCCCAAGCAGGGTACCAACTCCCACGCGAAAACCCGGCGGCGAGCGGGTTTAGCGCCCCGCATAGGTCAAGGGGTGCACTCCGAAGCCGTCCATGCGGTCGGGCTCCGCGCCTGGATCGATGGATCAACTCGGATGTCCCGAGGGGGGAAATCCGAATTCGGAGGGTTGGGGCTGGGGTGGGTTTTCCTCTAAGTCGAACCCGCAGAGGGGCCAGTTGATCTCTGTTCCATGCCAGGATGGACTGCAATGTGTGGGGGTTTGTGAAAGTTGGAAAACCAACAGGAGACCAGCCATTGTGTGGGGGATCACCTAAAAAAGGAAATATGTCATGTTTAGAGGAATCTCATTGTTGGGGAGCTGTTTTTTTTTTTTCTCGGCAAAGTTTGTCGGAATCTGCGAATGGGGCATAGGCGGCTTCAAATTGTTTAGAGGCTAGCGGTCAGGTGGTCTCTCGGAATATCATTTCTCACTGCGCTTGAGCCTTGTGATCCAATTGGCATTTGATTCTCTTCTGGGCATTTGTAAAACAGGGAAAACACGGTATGTGCTTCTACATTGAACAAACAGTGTTTACGGAGCTCTTTGGAGCCAGGCTGCTTCAGCGCGTTGGCTCGCAGCTCTGCGTCTAACGCGCCAATAGCGCTTTGGTAAAGGCGAAAGATAGTGGGCAAAAGCTAGTGAAGCGCGCACACACGCACACACACACACACAGAGATTCACCCTTCTAACTATCCAACCAGAGGACTTCAATATGTCTCCCAAAATCAAGTTGCTTTTCCATGGAAGAGGTTGTTGTTTCCTGGAAAGGTGTCATCCAAAAGGACATGGCCATTTGGGCGCCCGGAACCGGCCTTGCTCCAAGGCGGCGCTCACCAGGTCCGGGTCTGCCTCGGCGGCAAAAACCACTCCCCGGGTCGCACGAACGTGCTTGGCCCGCGGGATCTGCCCGCGACCTGCGATTTGCCTGTTTCCTTGTTGGTTTTTTATTTGGGCGGGGAGGGAATTGCCCCATCCTTTTTTCTTTGGCTTTTGATCGTTTTTTGGGGTGCCCAAATTTAGGAAACACCAGAATTGACGTCAGCAAACATGGGTCCACTTGGGGTGCTTCGTACTCTTGGACTCTTTGGCAAAACTGAGGCCAAAAACAAAGGGCTGGTCCCCCAACTGGCGCCTTAGACAAACCCGCGGGGCCTTTCGGAAACAAGCGGAGGGTCGTGGGCCGCTGAACCAATATCCCCGCAGCCACCAGGAAGCAACGGGCACACGTCAGCTTGAATTCAGGTCAGACCGGGGCTCTGTGCATTCTGAACCAGGATGGCAAGACATTGACCTCAGCACACCGTCGGCATCGATGTGCCGAAACCTCTAAAGTTTGGTTTCAGCGCAGACCCCCTGAATGCACGTGACTGAAAAGGTCTCTTTAAGCTTTCGGGACGAAGACTCGCCAAAGAGTCTCATCAGCTTGAGGGTCCACGACAAATCACGACAAGCTCGTTCCAAGACTCTGCGTTTCGTTGTTTTTTTGTTTTTTTCTTCTCGAGATTGCGCGAGCAAACGCGTAGGAATGTCCTGCCGGTTGCAGGCACTCGCAAGAGGTTTCTAGACCCAACGGGCAGGCAAATCACCGGCAGATTCGAGTTCAGAGCCAAAGAAAACCCTAGAAACAAAATCCATTGCTCTTTCCCACGGCTCGGAGATTCGCCTTGGACGCGCTTCCTGTTCGGCAGCGCCCATAATGTGCCTCTGCTCTTTGCAGATAGCATGCTTAAGGATTACCACCACGGGGTGTGCATGCGACTCACGCAAGACAATGGAGTTGCTAGAAATGAACTTCAGTCAGAAAGATATTTGCCTTCCTGATTCTGCGTAAGACGACTCTGGTACTGCAGAAACCCCACAACCCCCGTATTGCGGCGCAAGAAGCAACTAACCGGCTCACAGCTTGCCCAGCTCAGTGGCGCGTTCCTGGCAGTGAGACTGGGAGTACGAACCTGCCTTCGTCGCAAGCTATCATTCAACGTTGTCACGGGAGTGGAGAGGGCGCAGCAAATGGCCCAAAGTTGCGTCTGTTGTCAATTTTTTGGGGACCCCACAAATTGAGGGAGGGCTGGCCTCTTGACTCGACGCACAGCCTTGCGCCTTTGTCAGTTCAAGAGGCCAATTTCCGAGTTGCTGGCAGAATGAAAAATAAAAGTCAGCCCAAACACAAGTGCAATCATCCAACGCGCGAACTATGCGTCCTGTTTCATCTGTGATCACTCCTTCGCAAGCGCGACAATTACCCTCGGTTCAACAGTCATGCGGGCGGGCAAAAGGGCTAAATTAGCAAGCGGAGCAGTCTTCCGGAATCGCTCCCCCGCCAGCTGCCGAACTGGATGTTTTGTCAAAATGCCTGTGTTTCGCAAACGAAACTGCCACCTGCTTGGCTGCAACGCTCCACCTAAGGTCAAAACCAAATCAATCCACTTGGCTATGTGCTTCTTACATTTGTTCATCTTTACTAATGGGTTTGTTGTTGTGTTTGATTTATTGACTTGTTCACTTATTCATTCAAGTACTGCACTTATTCATTTCTGACTCAAGCAACAAAGGACTTTGTTGAAGCTGACCCACAAGCACATGCCAAGGAAACACAACTTATCCTGGCAATTCATTGGGACAACCTCCACTGTTTGTATTGGGGCTTGGCTCAAATGGACCTTATATATGTATACATATATATATATATATATTACATATATATATATATTCTGGTGGAATCAAAATAAAGGCAAATGCGTTTCAAATCCTGGCCCTTCAAAGAAATACCTGAATGCGGAAGGCAATCCGTCAGTGGTTGGTTGACCGGTTGAGAGCGACAATGACCTTCCTTGGGCTAAGCCGGATTTTGTGACCAGCATTTTTTGTCAAGCTCTGTTGTTGTATAGATCCAAATTGTAATCTATCAGCAAGCGCTTGAACATGTTGCCAGCATCCACCGTCGCGGCTGAAATTGGGCGCCCTCCATCGGCTGGCTGCATTCTACATCATGAATTATGGAGGCCTCTTGAATTCACATCCTACTGCCCGAGTGTGGTCCCACTTTCTCTTATTTTCAACATCACCCGCACTGACAGGAAAGTCAATCGGAAGGTGCACAACAAGTGAGCGGCTTGACTGTGGCCAACTCCCAAACATGATTTGTCCCTGGAAACTGAGTGGAACCATGTGGAACCCCTTTGTTCAGGCAATCTCGTGGTTCCATCGGCTCACATATCAGGTATCCCTTAATTGGTGGTTTGGGTCGGTTTGGATTTGGATTGAAGCGGGAAGGTGAGAACAGCCCCACCAATCCAAACCGCTCAACTCAACTTGGGGCATCGGAGGCCAATGGCCCAGCTCACAGCTCCCCAAGCGAGGCCTTGGCGGCGGTCACCGCGGAGATCACGCTGTGCCGGAAGCCGGTCGCCTCCAACGTGCTGGTGCCTGGCGCTCCAAGTCGGGGTGCGTCGGTTTTTTGGGACAACCGAAGGGAAATTGTTAGGAGATACCAAAGGGGACATCAGAGGAAACCCAAGGAAACCAAAGGAAACCAACTTGTTGCGCCCCCAAGTTGCTAGGGGTTGATTCCCCATATTCATTCCAGGAATTATTGTCATCCATTGTTCTTTTCAAATTCTGATGGCATTTGAGCTTGGTCTTCGTGCCAGAAATTCCTTCGGACGTGGCTGACTGAAGCTCTTCCACTGGCTGGCCAAACCAACGCCTTGCCCCGCACTACGGAAATGCTGTCATACAGGGAAATCCCTAAGCTGACCAGTTTCCCGGACCAGTTTCCCGGTATGGGAGAAAGAACCCGCCCCTTGAAACCCGTTCAGAAACAGGGTTCGCCCACTACTTTAACCTTGTAGTCCCCTAAGTGGTAGCTTTAAGGGAAATTACCCATCATTTTGGTCCCAAACAAAAAGGTCGAATCGCCTAAAGGGCCGGGTAACCCCAGCAAGTAGCTGACTTTCATCACCGACCGCGCGCCTGCGATGGTGGTTCCGCCCGGCGACTCCACAGCATTTCGCAGCTGCGCAGGGTGCCTCTCGCAAAGTGGTTGGAAGCGTATGGGTCAACATAGTGGGACTTCCTGAAATGGTGGGTTCCTGACACACGGCCTCGGAAACCTAGCGTGTTCAGATGATTCCAATCTGGAAGTACAAGGAGCTTCATGTCTTACCCATTCGACGTGCGCACATTCAAGCCCTGGATTCAACCTTTGAGAGCGCATGGTCTGTCAACACGCATGGTAATTGGTTTCCTTGTTTCCTTTGCGCATCACAGAAATTCACCACAGTGAACAACGATACACCGACTTTCCAAAGCACGTTTCCATACGCCACGCCATAGACATTCATGGACCATGAACAATCCAACCCCCGACCCCCCCCCCCCCCCCACCCCTCCGGGGCTCCGGGCTTGTCCGCCTGCGTCATCTTCGCCGCGCCCAGCACCGTCTGCGCCGCCAGCCGCAGGGACACGTCCCGCGGCAGGCCGTTCTTCACCTCGGCGGTCGAAATGCTCGGATCCTCCGAAGGGGTGTGTCCTTGAAGGAACAACCTGCTACAAATGGCAGGAGTCTCGACCAGGCTGTGAGCCACCTGTTCAACTACATAACTACTACTTGGACATGTCCTCCCGAGTTCTATGTACGTTTCATGAGTGAGCAGTAGAGGAAATGGTCCATGGATGTAGAAAAACCAACAATCCGAAACTCTGCCATTGTGGCCGAGCGTGACATTATCAGATGGCAGAACAATCAGATGGCAACCTAAATGGCGAGGGTCCGACGTTGCTGTGGCTTGCGGCTTTGCGGCTTTGGTACTTAACGCTGTGGTCCTGGTGCTTGGACATGCCCCATATGCTCCTTCCATTAAAAAAATGGCATGCCGGCTACATCCCGCTCACAAGCCCATTGACGTGGACAAATCCAAGAGGAGCTTCAGTGGACAAGTGGAGTACAAGATGCCCATACCTTTCGGCTTTGCATTGCATGATGCCAGTGCGCACTAAGCTCGTGACACCTGCATCAGCCATGGATTCTATCATCATGTACCTTGTCAGCAGCATGGGACAGTCACACCAAGATGACACGTGTTCAATCTTTGCTGTGGCGTCTCTTTGAGTAAGTCTAAAAAAGCTGTGAAGTTCAATTGGCAGCATGCAACATCGCTGCAGCAAAGCTCAAAGCTGTATGGCTAAAGCCTCAAACAGAGCCTGGAACTGCTGATGAATGAGTTATTGCATGAAAATATACATGGGCGGCCCTCCTTAAAGTGGCAAACGCTTCTCGCAGCAGGTTGGGGCCTTGGGCCAGGGCTGGCCCGAGTACCATTTCGAACCAGGTGTGTCTTAAATTGCAAGGAGCCCAAAACTGGGTGTCCTTTTGGGTTCGACCAACCCCCAGAAAGGCTAAAAAGACACGCTGTGTGAAAAGTTGCCAAGGGTTTGGATTGTTCGATCTGGTTCTGTACGCCGCGAACCACGGCACTTAGTCCTTTGGACTTGTCCGAAGTTCTCTTTTGGCAAACCACACCTCTTCAGACCCGGACCCTTCAAAAGTTACCTGTTTGCATGAAGGAAAACCATGAAGACAAAAGTCAAACAGGTGTGCCAAGTCTGGCGATGTGAGTCACAATTAGAACCTGGTACTGCAGTTGTCTACCCAAAACCGTGTTCAGAATTTAAAGGGCTTCTTGCCGCACCAGTTTTTGTGGTTGCGCTATCCTTTGCTAACCTTCACTTATCCACACTATTGGTGCTCACGTGACTTTGCCCAAAAGGACATGAGAAGATTGGGGCTCGTGGCCGGCAAAGGTGGAACATTTCGAGCTCCCCCTAGTTCCGGGGCCCCGGGCACGTAGGCGGGCCCAGACCCTGAGACCCCGGTGACCGCGTCCAGGAGCTTCTCGTCCGCTAGCTTCTCGCAGAGGCCCACGGCCGACATGACCTGCGAATCCGTTTTTCGCGACCGAGCGAGCAAGACGAGCAAGTCAATCAGTGCAGCAAGAAACGTGTAAACAGGTAAGTTATTCTTTCTTTACAAGAAGAGTAAGTGAAGCAAACGAGTGAGGAACACTCTCTCAACAAATAGTGCAACAAGAAAGCAAGTCAGTAGCAGGGAAGTAAGCAAGCAAAGACCACTAAGGATCGGTGCGAACACTTGGATTTGTTGTTGGCTCATTGGCCATAGCGGGCGTAAATTCTGTTCAAACAATACCGGCTGCGCCATGTTTCAATGCGGGCAAAACCCTCAACTTGCAAGTCAAAAGGATGCAATGGTGCTCGTGCAAGGGTTTCTTTTGC